CTACCTTGGAAACACATATCGCTAGTGATATTTGTTCCGCCATGTTCCATGTCGTCCAATATGTCAAATGTTCAGTGATGAATTTTTCTGGGATTGAATTCTGAAGGACCTATGTCAGTTTAAAGAAAAATGAAAATCGTTGTCGTGTGTTCAGTTCTGCAGAAAGCTGGAGAAAACGTGCAACGACAGTAAAGAAATATACAAAAAAGGGCAATACATGTAAAAAGTTTTTGTTGTTTCGAGTTTAAACCTATTGCTTTTAAGACAATCATGTTGCCATCGGTGCAAACGGATGCAACATTGTTGGCCAGCAACTCCCAACATTGTTGGATGTTACATGTTGTGTCCATTTGCACACTGTTACATGCTGTTGCGTGTTGTTGGGAGTTGTTGTGCAAAGTTTGAAACCAGTCAAACGCGTATGCAAACGGACACAACCTGTTGGCTAAACAATGTTGGGACTTTGTTTCATCTACTGGCACCTAGCTAAAGACCTATCCACAACATTATGGAGGTTAATCCAGTGCACAGCATTATCGACCTTCCAAGCAGCTGGGTCCAGTTGGGTAAAATAATAAGCACAACTGACCCGAGGAAGCTCTTGACTGAATATCTCCGTTCCTTGGGAATTGACGATGAGTTCACTAGGAAGCTGTTCTGTTCTACCAACAACATGATGCGACACGTTGTTTTCCCTGTAAAAATGTAAACAAAAACAAGCAAAAATTTATTATTTTTCCAGGTAGGGAAACACATATCACTAGTGATATGCCGTGTGTTTCCCTACCCAGGAACAGTTTCAATCCTTCTTTTTTTCGTTTTGTCACTATTTCTGCTGTCCTATGTTGCTGTTTCAAGGCCATGTTGCTTGTCGGAATTTTAGCAGAACAGTGCCTCACACATGCAAGCTACTGAGCAGTACTTTCCTGTGGTACTGTTCACTTAATTATTATGCTGTACAAGGTGGTTCTTACTATTGGTTCTATGGATTAAATCCTACAGTGTTACCATTCAGATGAAAGCTACTGAGCAGTACTTTCCTGTCATGGTAATGTTTATTACGCTGTACAAGGTGGTTCTATTTTTTTGAGACTGTGAAAAATTCCTGTAGTGTGCCCATTCAAATGAAAACCTCTTTGCCAATACTTTCCAATGGTACTGTTAATTACGCTGTACAAAGTGGCTCGTACTTTTGAGTCTTTCAACAAAATCCTGTAGTGTCACCCTTCAAATGAAGTTTCTTTAGCAGTACGTTCACATGGAAATGTTTGTTTTTCAGCATTTTGGAAAGTGTATTAAATAATTATTGTTGTTGAATTTTCGCTTCAGCTACTTAAGGAAGTAAAACGAAGTTAAAAAGACTGGAAAGCAAATCTAAAGTATTTTGCCTCCACTACATAACCGAGCACACAAAACAACACTTGGAGGCATGGGTGCATCTGTCAGCCAGGCCCATGAAATACTTTATTAACTCACGTGAAAAGCTCTCCTGTTAAAGTAATTATTCTAATAACACACCACAGCTGCACTCATAAACCCAAAAAAACCAACTACTGGAAAAATAGGAATCCCAACCTATGCTATGGCATCGCCTTTGGGGTTATAAGGCTAAACAAATAAAATAAAGCCTAATAAAATAAGAGCAGAAAATGAGATGCTAAATAAAATAGCTAAGGAACATAGGGACCAGTGCAGATGGTAACGAAATTAAGGCTAACAGAATAAGTGAAAACTAAACTAGACAAAGCAAGTTGACGTGGCGAGGCCAACCATAGAATGACACGCATAACTAAACGGTCACTAAATCAAACCCTGTAACCGCGATCCCTCACACGCTACACTAGAACCCAGCTCTCTGTTCTGTGCCAGCAAAATAGTAATTTATGTCAATTCTAATTTACACAAATTACATAATGTAAAAATTAAGCTGACTCACCATTTAACAGTCAGCTCAATGAAAGTTTTTAACTGGGCATTTCCCATGCAGGTCCAATTTTGTAAAATGTGGGCAAATTTACTTCCCCCCGAGAAGGCATCTTGGCCCAGGGAATTTTAAAGGGCCGGCACTGCGGAAGCCCCCATTCTAGGAAAAACACCGAGATCCCCCTAACTCCCTCGTCCCTTCCCCCTTTTTTTGGAACCCGGCCCCGCCCGGGGGGGGGGGGACACTTGGGTATATTTTGGGTGGGTATGTGCCGCCCGGGACTCCAAATTGATACCTCGTTCTAGAAATGGGCCAATTTTTTACACCCCGTTCTAGAATTCGCCCTAAAACTGTTACCCCGTTCTAGAAATGGGCCAATTGTTTATACTCCGTTCTAGAAAGTTTGTACATTGAAATAGCCCTGTTTTTTTAAAAAGATATAACTTTATTTGTTCGACTTATACATCAAATAAATGCTTCATAATCAGCAACAATTTTAAGAAGAAGATAAAGCCGTGATCCACAATTTTTTATACCCCGTTCTAGAAAACGCCTCTGAAATAGATACCCCGTTCTAAATCAGGAGCTTCAAAATCACGACCCCGTTGGGCGGCACATACCCGCATAGGTAATTTATGGGAGTATCCCCCCCCGGGCTGCTCCGCCGCGAAAACTTTAATCTCGCGAAAAATGTAATAAACCAGCATAAACCAGAATCGGGCTTTACAATATCCGGGTGTGATTTATCCATTTTTGACCCCCTTCTTCCTCTTTCTTACGATTGCAAGCAGTTCGGGCCCCATGTTTTTCTTCCCAGATTGCAACGTACCCTTTCTAGTGCTGGGCTTTTCAGGTAAAAACTGGGATGAGTTTATCTGTCTGATGTAAATAGGCCATTTTACAGTTCTGGGCTTAGTGTCCTAG